TTGTCTCTTGATATAAAACTAAAATGAAAGGATCAATATTTTTTAAAGATATATGACTTGAGTTTGTTTCTTTCGCACATGTACATGAAATATATATATATATATATATATATAAATAATTTGCAAGCTATATTTACTTTTATTTTTTTGAATGTCTTTAAAATTAATTATTTTAAATCATTTGAAATTGAAAAAGCTCGAAATGATTAATTTATATGGTGGAGGTTTGAAATTGGATATTAATTTATATGGTGGAGGTCCAAAATTGGGTGTCAACATGTATGATCCAAGATTCTCCTGAGAAACTTGGACATTATCTTGTATCCCAATTTTTGACTATATACTTGAGTATTTTGAGCATCTTCGAATTGATTTGTATTTTTAAATTTCTAAACACTTGAATGAATATGCTTATTTTCTTGGACAATAGTAGCATTGTATCAATTTTTTTACTGTATACGTTATACATTCAGGTGTCCATAATGAGCTTGATTAAAGAATTAGAAAATGACTAACTAAATTTAACCAACTTTTAATCTGTTAGTTATAACTAACTAATTTCCTCACAAACAATGCGAACTACTCTTCTGCCCTTGTTATCCTTCAACATAAATGTTCTTTTAAGTTAATAAAATGCTCCATTTGTTATAATACAATATCTTGATTTTTATTCTCAAAATTTTAATTGATATATAATAAGTTTTAAGTAAATTAATTCTAAATTCTAATATTACATAAACTTCTATTGTTTTTTTAATAGTAAAAACTTATGAATTTGAAAAGTAATTTGAGGATATGAAAATCATAGTACTTCAAATGAGTAGCTATCTGAACTCTCGTCGTGTTTTAAACAATAGTAAATGCGGGAGGACCTATCACTCCCAAACTTTTATTAAAACATTTAAGAATTTATAACAATTTATGAAGTTACAATCCAAAATTTATAAAGAAAAATAAGTTAAAGATTGTGCTAATAACATATTATTATAAAATGAAAAGAAAAAGTAATAAAAAACAAAAAAAAAGTAGATAAAACAAGTAGAAAGGATAGTATTATTATTTTTCATCCAAGTATGTATCTAACAAAGACTTACAAAATCCTTATTTATAAGAACACTAAGGGAACTTAGCCACGCTTCACACAAGTGTTAAAATATATTTATTTGAATTATTTTTTTCCGATTAATTTGTTCACTATAGTATATTGTTTGATCCTCAGCTATACGATCTGGTCATTCTTACATATCATCTACAAACTTTGGATCTGTATTCTTCAATTGGATAGAAAATTTAAATCAAATGAAATTACCCATTTTTTTAAAAAAATAATACATCATCCAATTTAACTCTTGTCTGAATCTAACTATCTTAACTCAAATAAATTAAATTCATGTCCAACTCATATAAGTTTATCTTGTAAGGGGTAGTAATGCACGAACATAATGCAAATTCATTATATTTTAATATTTGAATAAAAGAAAATAATTAATACAATAGAGCAGGTAAGAATTCTGTTATTCTCCATTAAAATGGAATATGAAAGGATGTGTTAATTCTTTAATGTGTAATCTGAAAAGGTTAGCCATATATTGACAAACTCGTAACTACATATTAGGCTAATATATTAGATTAGAATTAATATCAAATAAGTATCATTTCTAAAAATTGAGAATTATTATAATTATAGAAAAGGTAAAGTGAAGTCTTTCATATAGTGAGTTGTGACTACTAATTAACAAATTAAACAAGTATAAAACTTCATTTTTCTTTATACCTTTTTAATTACAATAAAAAATTCAAAAAAATGAAGAAAAAATAAAATAAAAAAGAAAAGGAAAAAGATAATATAAGATTGATAATTAATATCATACCAATATTTTAGAAAATAAAGCATCTCAACAAAACAAATCAATTTTGTGTAGTTCTTTGAACATCCTATTTTTTAAAAGAATGAATATGAAAAAAATATTCCATGTTAATAAAAACAATCAATTTTACTTTGGATTATAGAAATAACATAAATAAATAAGTAGTAAAATATATATGTAATTGAAAGATATGAGATGTAACTCACTTTTTTTCTTCTCTAAAGTCTGTTTTTGGTATTATTTGTTGGAACGTATAGGTTGGTTTGTTGTATTTTTTTAAATAGTGCACCTTATTTGGATGAGTATTATCTGTTATATTATATTGTTAGTTAAATATATGTTTGTTTTAGTTGTTCTACAAATTTATCGTATCATATTTTTTAAATTTATTGACAAAGATAAAATATAAATAATGTATATATAATTATAAATTGATCATCGGAAAATGAATTTGAAAGGGTAAAATATAAAATAATAATTTGAATGCACTTAACAGTCATAACATATATATATATATATATATATATATATATATATATATATATATATATATATATATAAAACAATCATAATTGTATATATTAACTTTTAATTGTTGAAAAAGAAGTGAAGAGATTTTATTTGATTTCTAAACAAAAATATGAAAATATTTTACGTGATTTCTCCCCTATTTAAGACTCATAATTATATAAAAAAAAATTGATAGTCGAATATGTTAGACAAATTTATTTAGACAAAAAAATAGGAGAAAATAATAGTGATAAATTTAAAGAAGGTATTTAAGAAAATGAAATAACAGAAAGATACTTACATTTTTTATTTAAAGGAAGATGGAAGAAAGAGAGAGACAGAGGCATTTTGAGGAATCAAAATAAATGAAAATAATAAGGAAATTATATTAGTCTTTTGTTTAAGGAAGATTAAAGAAAGAGAAGAAGAAGGATAGATTTGAAGAAATGTAATAATTGTTAATAATTAGTGAGGAAAGAAATAAAAAAAAATTGCAAGTGCTTCGTAATCAAAAAATAAATAAAAAAAAGTTCAAAACTCTAAGAAAAAAATATAAATATTGTCCCGTGAGACATGACACCTTTTCTTTCATCATTTAACTTTAATAAATACATATATAGATATAAATTTTTAGGAAAAAAAATCTAAAATAAAATTAAAATGATAGATTAAATTCTCTTTAGAAAAAGTGAAATGCAATGCATATAAAGTTATAATACCTAATTCCTTAAGTTGAATAAATTCTTTTTAAACAGAAAACACAAAAAAAAAAAAGAGCGATTTAAGTATTTATAATGAGATTGAGAAAAGAAAAGAGATTTTATAGTATTGATGATGAAAGAAATTAAAATATGACTACCTTATATATAAAACCGTAAGGTAAAATTTTCAATTTTTAAAATTAAGATAGAGGTAAAATAAAATTATTACTAAATCTTTTTTTTTATAATTTAAAATATTGCACCACTAATTATAGTATCTATATTTTTTTAATAGCTAATTAAAAATATCGTCGGTAGCTTTTTGTATTTTTTTAAAAAAAATTATATGAATAATTTAAACATTGATAAATTCATTAATAATGAAATTACTCGTCATATCTAATACACACAAAAAGAACATTTTCCTTTAAGGTGAAATCCAATCAATTAATAAATAAATACAAAAATGAAATGTAATTCTAACATTTGAATTTGGAATTTGCTTTTGAAAATGTTTTATATATTAAATTCTATCTTTATTTGTTACTTATTTAAGTAATTTAACGTTTTTTTATTTTAATAGCCATGTATGATAAAATGATCTCAAAATATATATATGTGCACATATGTTCATTCTTCATGGCATTATATAATATAAACATTAAATTTCTTTCTTATAACTAATATTTGCATGATATCTTGTCCCTAATGCATTTATACAACATCTTAATAAATAATATAACCTATAAGAAAAAAAAACATACATATAAAATTTCGTTTACTTATATCAATTTTTAACTAAAGATGCATAATAAAAAAAACAAAATAGAAAATACTTTTAGTAAAGAAAAAAAAAGAAATTAGTAGAACAAAGAAGGTGAAAAAAATAATGTCAACATAAATTTTGGCTCTTTCCAAATGAGAAACATTTTTCCTTGTCCTCCTTCTAATTTTCTCATAATTTGATATGAATTCCATAAATAAATAGATTCCTTTTCTAAATATTTTTCTTGCTCTTTGAACTCTCTCGATCATAAAAAATTCTCAAACACATGAATTTTTTTATAACGAATATCTCTTTGTAGGAAAAATTATAGTGAAACATTCTTTTAAAAAGTCTTGTCTTTTGAAAAGGTACGCTTGAATTCTTTCCTAAAAAGTCTTGTATTTTGAAGAGGTACGCTTGAATTCTCAACCAAATAAATATTTTTTTTAATCAATTTCTTTTTGTAGGAAAAATTATACTTTCAACATCCTTTCAAAAAGTCTTTTATTTTGAATAGGTACACTTGTTGCATGGCCTTTCTTTTATAAAAACATGATATTTAAAAATTGATTGATGTGAAGAACAAGAAGAAAGGGAGTCTATTCTTGTTGCTTATGAATGATCAAATATTTCTATTTTATTGATTAAATATAAACTGTTGTGAAAAATGAAAAGTTTTTTATCTTTTCATCTGCCATTCACTTAAATATTAGTAATTATGTAATTCTTTTAAACATTTTCAGTTTTTTAAGGTATAAATTTAAAGTAGAAAATATAATTTTAAAGAAGTAACAAAAAAAGAGGTAAAAATAAATAGGTAAAAATAGATAATTGTAAATGCTTGCCATTGGAGGGTGTCACATCAGTGGATTTGGATTCTGCTTTATATATATATATATATATTAGACTACATTACAAAATTTTAAATACTAATATTACGTTAGTAAATATTAAAATATATCATGAACATAACCATTAACTATATAGGGATTATGACAAAGAAGAGTTGTAAGAGTAATGGAAAATCACAATAAAAACATTTATTCCTCAATATGTTTTGAATGGAAATGAACATCCACACTTCAATTGTAAATTACATACCAAACAAATAATTAAATTACAAATACAAATAATTGCAAGTATAATTTGTAAACATCAAGCCCTTTTTAGTCCTAGTGTAATAAGATCTACACTAAGATAATCATATATAAAAGCAAATCTAAAGAGTTGTAGTGTATGATCACTCCAAGGAGGATATCTAAACCAAATGTCTGTAAGAAAGCTCCTTCTTGCTATTGCTTTTTCATGGCTAAATGTATCAAATGAAAATTTTCCATGGTATCTTCCGAAGCCACTTTGTCCTACTCCTCCAAATGGAAGGGTATCAGCTGCATACTGCATTTGTATGTATAGCAAGTCATTTTGATGATTAGTTTGATCATTAAATCATAATGAAAATTGGTGTTATAAAGAGCAATATTATTGAGAGGGGGTTCTAGAATCACATATTCTAAATGTTATTTACTTATTTTGGAGTGTCATGTTATATATTTGATTCAAATTATAAAATTGAAGTAATTTACTTTTTAGCTAATTTGGTTAAAGTTGGATGACCTTTTATATATGTGACAAAAATGGAAAGATGACTTTTGTGTAATAGACTTCAAAGTTGGACGACTTTTATGTCATAAAAAAAAAATAAAAAACTAATATTTGACTCTGAATACATATTTGAATCTTTAAAGTGTTGTCTTTAGATTTTAATATTGCATGATCAATATTGTTTTTCAACAGCAAAATATGCATAGTTTATTTACTTTTACATATGATAAATATATTATTGAAGTTGAATCTTACAAAAAAATATAAAATTAATATACAAAATTATTATTTAATTATAAAAACTATTTGTGTTTGTCAGCAATGATAGAGCTGATTTGTTGTGGTGATGGTTGGTGCTAGTGGCAGGTAACAATTATGGTGATTATAGTTGTGATGGTGGAGGTGTTTGGTTGTAGTGACGTCGCGATATAGGTAGTTGGTTGTGACGGTGACAATGATGGTGAAGTTGATCAATTTTAGTAGTTGCAGTGGCTGAAGAATGTGTGGTGATTGATGATGATATTGGTAGTAGTATTGGCTTTGATTGAAGAATGTGTGGTGATTGACAAGGACATTGATGATAATTGATAGTGCTAATTATAAAGGCAAAAGTGGTTAGTAATTGTGTTAGTGAAAAACTTAGAAGATAATAAAATTTCAAGATTACAATTGAAAATAAAATGAAAAAATTAATCTCTTCAGGCTGAGGCGCGGATATCTCGCTCACTTTAAGGAGATTCAAGCCCACTGCAGCAAATGTTTTCACCGGTCCAGCAGTAGTCCTCTTTGACTTGTCCCCTCCAGGATACAACAGCCTTCACAAAGTATAACTCAACAACTCTGGACAAGAGTGAGTCCAAAGCTCTACAAAAAAGAACACCTCCCTTCAACTAATAAGAACTCTCTTTTAGACTAACTCTTAACTCTTTGTTTTCTCTTGTGTTTTGTGTGTGTCCCTAAAACAAATGAAGAATACAACTATTTATACTACAATAAGTCTTCCTAGCAATGAATAGGAAGATAATGGAGGTAGTAAATAGTGAAGATAATGGCCTTAGAAGTTTCATAGGTTACAATGGGAGTTACATAGGCTACAATGGGAGTTACATAGGTTACATAAGTTACAATGGGAGTTACATCAGTTACATAGGTTACAAAGAGTAATGGAGGAATTAAGAATGAAATACATTGATGGATAACCAATGCTAATGGATGATGTAGAAGTCATCCATTCCAATGTTCATTCTTATAACTCCAAAATAAAGCAATTTAATATGTTAAATATTAGTCTTAAAATGCTAATAACCTAACAATGCCCCACTCATTTTAATATTTAGATAAGTGAGTATATCAGCTGAAGGAAGACTACTATGCATAATGAAGGTGTGCTCTGCATTGAACCTCCACTTAGTGAAACAATAACTTTTACTCCAGAGTCGTAGTGGTCTCAGACTTGAACTATGACTGCTTAAGGGAAATAAAATATCACTTCTCACACATAATAATCAAGGTGTTGACATGAAATTTAACAGCCAGCACGTTATGGCCATGTGCTATCCCAGTTTCATGAGTGCTTTTGAGAATAAGCCTCATTCTCATAGGAAGCGACCTACTTCCACACATAACATAGGTGAAATCTGTCGAGAGTGAACCTGTAAGATTAACACTCCACCCATACGGGCTACAGATATTCATTAAGAGTTTTATCAACTCAACCTTCACAAACTACAAGAAACAATGCACTCACAACATAAGGAGGGAAAAATTAGTGCATTTTTCACAACAAGTCGACATATGATTAGTTTTTCCCTTTGAACCTGGTTATAGGATCTCTAGTCCCCAGGTTGGGTTTTCTTATATATGACTCAAGGATTTGTAGGCTTCAATCCCATCCCCCTCGATATGCTCCAGACCTTTTCTCTTGTTAAGGCCTTCGTAAGAGGATCTACAAGATTATCACAAGATTTGACATAATCAACATTTATGGTACCATTTGTCAAATACGATCTTACATTACTGTGTTTCCTCCTTATAGGTCTGGATTTACCGTTGTAATAATTGTTTTGAACTCTACCAATTCTAGCGGTGCGATCAAAATAATTAAAATAGGAGGAATTGGTTTTTCAAAATAAGGAATTTGAAACAATAAATCTCTTAACCAATTCGCTTCCTCACTAGCTGAAGCTAAAGCAATTAGTTCAGCCTCCATGGTAGAGTTAGCAATTATAGTTTGCTTTTTTTAATCTCCAACAAACAGCACCACCACCTAAAGTAAAGACATAACCAGTGGTAGAACAGGAATCACCTGACAAAGTGTTCCAATCCGCATCACAAAAGCCTTCGAGTACAGCAGGATATTTTTTATAGAACAAACCACTATTTTTCGTTCCAATTAAATATCTCATAACTCTTGTTATAGCATGCCAATATTCATTACCTGGCTTGCTTGTAAACCTGCCAAGTACTCCTACTGCATATGCAATATCAGGCCTAGTGCAATCGGTCACTTATCTCAAACTTCCGATTATACTAGCATATTCCTTTTAATTTATTACATCATTTTCACTTTCAACAGGAAATAAGTCGACACTTGAATCAAACGGAGTAGCAACATGCTTGCAATCATGAAAGTTATATTTTTTTTCAAAATTTTCTCAACATAATGTTACTGGTCAAGGAAAATCCCCTCACATGTTCTTGTTATTTTTATTCCAAGAGTAAAATTTGCCTCACCAAGATCTTTCATATCAAAATGGCTTCTAAAAACATTTTTAGCTTCATCAATAACATTCATGCTAGAGCCAAAGAACAACAAATCATCAACATATAGGCAAATAATCACATGAGAATTATTCCAAGACTTATGATATATTCACTTATCACACTCATTTGTTTTAAAACCATTTTCAATCATGCAGGAATCAAACTTTTCATGCCATTGCTTTGGTGCCTATTTCAAGCCATATAGGGATTTAGTAAGTTTACATACTTTGCTTTCTTGGCCTGCCTCAACAAAACACTCGGGTTGGTCCATATATATTTCTTCATTTAGGTCTCCATTTTGAAAAGCAGTTTTTACATCCATTTGATGAATTTGCAAATCAAAAATGGCAGTCATAGCAACTAAAAGTCTAATGGATGTAATTCATGTTACCGGAGAAAAAGTATCAAAAAATGCTAGGCCTTCTAGTTGTTTAAAACCTTTTGCAACTACCCTAGCTTTGTATTTATCAATAGATCCATCCGGTTTCAACTTTTTCTGTAAGACCCATTTACAATCAATTGTTTTACAATCCGGTGGTAAATCAACTAACTTCCAAGTTTTCTTAGAAATTAGAGATTGCATTTCATCATTTACAGCCTCTTTCCGAAAAATAGAATCATGTGAAGATAATGCTTCTTTCAAAGTTAGAGGGTCATTTTCAACATTAAACACATAAAAATCAGGACCAAAATCTTTTTCTACTCTAGCTCTTTTACTTCTTCTTAACTCAAAATCAACAACTTCTTTATTTTTCAAAGTTGAAGTAGAAGAACTAGGTAGTGACAAAATATTTTGTTCAATCCTTTGACCCCCACTATTTTTAGTATCAAAAGGAAATTTATTTTCATGAAAAATAGCATCACCAGATTCTATTACAATATTATCTTCAAGATTAAAAAATCTATAGGCTGTACTATTTGAAGCATAACCAAGAAAAGCACAAGTAGTAACTTTCTTACCCAACTTTGTAAACTTGGGATCCATTAGCCTCACAAAGGCTAGACAACCCCAAACTCTTAGATATCCCAAACTTGGCTTGTAACCTTTCCACAATTCAAAAGGTGTCAATTTAGAATTTTTATGAGGCACACGATTCAACACATAACAAGCAGTTAAGATAGCTTCACCTCAAAAATTTAAAGGTGCATGTGACTCAATAAGCATGGCATTAGTCAATTCAACCAAAGTTCTATTTTTCCTTTCTGCTACTCCATTAGACAAAGGAGAGTAAGGAGGAGGAGTTTTATGAATTATTCCCAATGATCTAACAAAAGAATTTAACTCATTTGATTCGTATTCACGGCCTCTATCACTTCTAATTCTTTTTATTTTTCTTCCAAACTGATTTTCAACCTCATTAAGATAAGTTTTGAAATTTTCAAAAGCATCACTTTTATTTTTTATCAAGTAAACATATGTAAAATTAGAAAAATCATCAATGAAAGTGATAAATATCTATTACCTCCACGAGTTATAATTCCACCAAGTTCACAAATATCAGTATGAACTACTTCTAACAAATCAGTTTTTCTTTCAACTTGAAAATGAGGCCTTTTAGTGATCCTGGCTTTACTACAAGCCTCACACTTTTCAAAATTCTTTTTAACCATTGGGATTAATCCTAAACTACTCATGATTCCAACATAACGATCATTAATATGACACAAACGAGCATGCCAAAAATTAGTAGAAGAAAGCATATAAACACAAGTAGAAGTTTTATTTATTTCAACATTCAACTTAAACATCCCATCACATGCATACCCATTCCCCACAAAAATATCTTTCTTCACTATTAAATATTGATCAGATTCAATAATCTGTTTAAAGCCTGCTTTATTAAGAAGAAAACTAGACATCAAATTTTTTTCTCATTAAGTACATCTTTCAATGTTAATATCCTTTCAGAAGTAAAACACAATTCAAAAAATCCCTTTCAAGCTCTTGAGTAGCGTGAGCATCACTAAGCATGATGGTTTTGGCCTCCTCAAAATGAGTATATTTTTTAAACTAGTCTTTGTCATAACAAACATGACGGTTTGCACCAGAATCAGCCCACCATCCATCAACATTCTCAACCATGTTTATGTAGGTAATCACCACCACAAAAGGTTCTTCGATAATGTTTGGCTGAGGGTTAGGACCACGTTTCCGAAATTTACAAAATCGAGCAATATGCCCACTCTTGCCACAAACAAAGCATGGTCCCTTTTCTTGAACTTGTTGATGTTGTGCTTGGTGATTTTCACCATTATTTTTCTTGGGAGGTCTACCATTATTTTTCTTGAATTTTTTTCTTCTTAGGCTTTAAAGAAGTATTTTTGTGAGTTTCAGGAATAGCATTATTCGAAGTAATTAAATTTACCTTCGATGTGATGTTGTTCTCTTCTGTTTGTAAAAGTGTATCTTGACCTCTTGCTTCTTCTTCCATGCGGATTTTCATTATCAAGGTTTCAAGAGAGGTTTCCTTTTGTTTGTGGCGCATAGTTTTTTAAAATTCCTTCCAAGAAGGTGGAAGTTTATCCACTATGCCACAAACAATAAGGTTATCTCCAATTTTAACCTCTTCGGACCTAAGCTCTCCAACAATCATGATGAAGTCTTGAGCTTTATTTACCACTGATTTGTTGTCCACCATTTGGAAACGAAAAAATCTACTAGCTGCATATTTTTTCGCTCCAGCCTCTTCGGTATCATACTTACTCTGCAATGCCTTCCAAATTTTATTTGCACTAGAGTAAGTTCTATCATAATAATCATAAAAATTATCAGATAGACAATTAAGAAGATAATACCGACACTTATAGGAATCACAATCGTACTTTTCCACTTTCTCTAGACGAGAAATAGTTTCATCATCATTCATAGTGGTGATGTCTTCTTTATTCGGATTCTTCTCGGTTAAAACGTAAGAAAAATTAAGAAGACATAAGTAGAAAAGTACTTTACCCTTTCATCTTTTGAAATGGTTACCATGGAACCGAAATGGCTTGTTAAGATCTCCCATCTTGACATCTGCGGTTTTTCCAATTGTAGTCATCTTTGATTCTCCTTAAAATTGTTAGTGAAAAACTTACAAGATAATAAAATTTCAAGATTACAATTGAAAATAAAATGAAGAAATTAATCTCTTCAGGCTGAGGCGTGGATATCTCGCTCTCTTTAAGGAGATTCAAGCCCACTGCAACAAATGTTTTCACCGGTCCAGCAGTAGTCCTCTTTGACTTGTCCCCTCCAGGATACAACAGCCTTCACAAAGTATAACTCAACAACTCTGGACAAGAGTTGAGTCCAAAGCTCCACAAAAAAAGAACACATCCCTTCAACTAATAAGAACTCCCTTTTAGACTAACTCTTTCACTCTATGTTTTCTCTTGTGTTTTGTGTGTGTCTCTAAAACCAAATGAAGACTACCACTATTTATACTACAAGAAGTCTTCCTAGCAATGAATAGGAAGATAATGGAGGTAGTAAATAGTGAAGATAATGGCCTTAGGAGTTTCATAGTTTACAATAGGAGTTACATAGGTTACATAAGTTACAATGGGAGTTACATAGGTTACATAAGTTACAATGAGAGTTACATAGGTTATATAAGTTACAAAGAGTAATGGAGGAATTAAGAATGAAATACATTGATGGATAACCAATGCTAATGGATGATGTAGAAGTCATCCATTCCAATGTACATTCTTATAACTCCAAAATAAAGCAATTTAATATGTTAAATATTAATATTAAAATGCTAATAACCTAACAAATTGGAAATGACCATAGTCATAGAAGTGGTTGATGGTGAGAGTGGTAATGACAGTAAATATTACTATAATAATAAAGGTGGTAAATATAATAGCGACTAATAGTAGTGATTGACAGTTATGGTGATTGACTAATTGCAATGGCAAAATGGTTGGTGGTGATGGGTAAAGACGATGGTGGTGATTATTGACAATGGTGATAGAGATTGTGACAACAAAATATGGTTAGTCAAGGTGTTTGATAGTTAAGAACAAAGTCATGGTAAAAATTGTTCAAGATCCTAAATAAATACTTAAATAGTACATAAACCAATACATTAACTAACCTTAAGTCTCTCTATGTAGCAAACTCACATTACTTCATAAATGTGAAAAAATAAAAGTGAATTAAAGGGGAAAAAAACTTACCAAACTTCCTGAAGAGGTTCCTTTTGTAATCTTTCTTTTGAACTCTTCATTTTTGGTAATGGCATATATAGTAAGTGGCTTAGGCCTTCCGTTGATAAATTCAATACTGTTCTCAATTTTATCGAACTAATGACAAAAAAACAAACAAAATTAACCTTAATTGGAACAAGTATTGCCCTTTTTGTCACAAATAAAATGTAGTGTACATTTTACTTATTAAATTTTTTTATGACCAATACATAATCCTCTACATTTTAATATATATATATATACACACACAAATAAAATATCGTTCAACTAATAAGTTTATGTTATAAAATAAGTCGATATAAAATCATTATATATTATAATTCAAGGTCAATATAATTTATGACAAATCAAAATAAACTTCTAAAAATATATATTGGACTTGTAATAGAGGTGCAATATATTGAAGGTTACTATAAGGCGTAAATCAAATTATATTATAAAGATAATCAAAATGACAAAGAAGTTTAAGTTGTTAGAAAAAAGAGTAAACGAAGTGATGGGCAAGGGAAAGACAAAAAGAAAATACGATTTTACAATTCATGATTTTAGTTAGAAAAGGAATTATTTGTGAAAATTTATAAACGAAATGAAATATATTCTTCAATTTTTTCGTTTAGTATTTTGAATCTTGAATTCTGATACTTTTAATGCGTTCGAAAAATAATATTATACTGTATATCTTACTGTTATGATAGGGCGCAATGTGCCAAAAATTTCATCAGTCATGATTGTAGATTGCACGGGAGGATCCAGTAATACTGTGGGCTCAATGTACCTGCATTTACACATATAAATCATTCAAAAAATTAAATGCAATATTGTTGGCAACTTTTAAAATAACACAAGATAATAATTTATACTAAATATGTATTGTTTGGTACGAAGACAATATTTTTTTAAAAAAATTGATTGTGGAGTTTGGTTTTGGTTATTGAAGAAACTTTTTTCAAGGAATATATTTTCTTATAATAAGAGGAGAAATTGCTTTCCTCACTTATTAATAGTATATTATTATGCATTATATTACTTCATCTCATTAATACTTATATTATCAATATTAATACATAAAATTGACCATGTAATTGCGTAATTTTTCATCAAATATATGGGTCTTTAATTTTTCCCTTTAAATAAGTTGGTCTTTAAGTTTTGTTCTTAAAAATTGAATTCATGAAATATTGTAATGTGTTATTTGCAAAAATAAGTTGGTCTTTAAGTTTTGTTTTTAAAAATTAAATTCCTACAATATTGTAATGAGTTATTTGCAGAAATTCTTAAAAACATTTGACTAAAAATATTGTTTCATCAAAAAAATATATTTTTGAAAAGAGTTTGTTTTATTTTTTTTTAGATATTTTCGACTTTTAGGAGTCGCCACTTAATTTTGAGAAAATTAAGAAAACTTGTTTTCAAATAATTAAACAGAAAATTGTTTGAAAACTTTTAAGGGTTCGGAATTCCTATTAGCGTCTTAGGAAGGTTTCGAAAAAAGCACCTAAGACGCTCCGGTAACTACGGTTTTCCGGCGATTAACTATTTGACTATTTTATCTTAACATTTGCGAATCTTTAAAGTTAGATTTCTCAAATCTTAAACGAACTTAATAAGACATTATTGCTTTAAAATTCCGTTTAAAGTTAACTTTTTAATTTTTTTAATTCAAAGCAACTCGTGAGTTTTAAACTTTGTTGTTTTAAGATTCATTTTAATTTTTTAATTTGATAAAATAAAAGGTGTCGATGGGGGTTTGGAGTTTCAAACCCTAGACTAATGATAGTCCACGCAAACATGTCAAACAAGTAACGGGGAGGGGAGAGAGAGAGAGAGAATTGGGTCCAAATTTGAGTTCTGTTCGCCTTGACCGAATTTTGGACCCACCTGCCGTTGGGTCTTTTAGCCCATTTTTACCTGTCCTATCTAAACATACACAATAAAATACCAAAAAAACAAAACAAGGAAGGCTTATGCCCATTACAAAAATAAAATACAGAATGAAAATAAAGTGAAGTCTTCTAATCCGTTTTCTTTGATTTCTTCAATCTTCATGGCATTTGACCCTCGCATGTTTGCCTTGATGCGATGGAGAGATGTCTTGAGCCTTTATGGCTCCCCCGAATGCATAGAGGAAAGCGGAGTCAAAAATAGACTCGAAGGAAATCCACATACAATCAAACGATATGAGTTAGTGTATGGGACAACATAGCAGCGGAACGAGTTATGAACTAAAACATCTTTACAAATCATTTATCAACAAACAATAATCAAGGATACGCAAATTTCGAACGACAATAGGCATGATCATGAAAACATCTTTTAGTATCGTATGTATATTTTCACTACCTAAACAATGCTAAATAAACACTAATAGACAACCACCTTATGCAATGCAAAGACTTAGACTAATCAACTAGAAACTAGAACTTCCTTTAAATGAAGACCCATAATAAGTTGTACCAACAATTATCAAAACAGATTCTAGACGGGTGATCACGAAGAGAGACTATACTAGTAGGAGGCAAAGGAGAACCTCAAGAAATCAAGAACGCCCTGACTGACTAGACACTTACTCGATTTTCATTATTATTTCTTTCTCAAACAGCGACTACAAAAAACTATTACATTAAAGAGATGAGATGTGTGCACCATTAGCAGTTCAATGAAACTTGAGCATTCATAATAATCTTGAGGGAACAAAAAATGCAACATCACTATATTGAGCTATGGCTCTTTATGAACGGAATGAACTACGGCTAAACAACGAAATCGATTGTAGCTAATCATAACAGGCTCCAAAACAGGACGCAACACAAGACCAGCATATATAATAGCACATAATCACAATGTTCGAAGGACATGAACCTACACGACCTCACCTGACCAATGAGAAGCTATGGATAATTGCTAAAACATGCAAAGCTGGCCATGTATACTTGCATCTGAACAACTTAACATAGCTTGGCCCCAAAAAAAAACTAAACAAAAGGAACAACGAGGTGATGAATAACACTACATTATCGAGCCACGGATCCTCAGAAACAGAATAAACTAGGACTAATGCGATAAGATCGACACCATGGTGAACTCGTAACAACAATGAGCAGCACAGACCCTATACTCAACATTCAAATATTTGACTCGTTTAATCCAAAACAAACGAGAGACATTCAAATAACTCGACAGCCAACCCCGAACACCAAAACAACGACAAACCAGTTTCGAAACTACAGGAAAAAAAATGCAGAAACAGTAAGGACCAGGGGGAGTTTACCTTCTTTGAAAGAAGCAACTGGGACAATGTGAGCAAGGGAGGGAGGCGAAGACTTCGCACACCACTCGAACACGAACAGAGCTCGACCTCAGGCCGAATGTCACTCCAAAGTTGGATTCGAGAAGCAGCTCACAGCAACCCGAACAATCTCTCAAAATTCGTATCAAGTCTTCGTTATAGAAACCTCCAGAATTCAAAAAACAATTCCCCACCAACAGACAGAAAAGGAAGCAAACTTTTTTTGAAAAATTTTCCAACCCCGATTTTCCTTTGAGTTCTTCTGGAGCAAACAGAAGGGGGCAAAAGAATATCAAAACCAAAGCTTCCAACTCTCGATTCTCAACTCTCAAAAAAAAATTTGCAACCCCCAAAACTCTAACCTAAAGCAAAACCTTCTTTAGTGTTCTCGGAAAACAAACAAAAGCAGTCAAGAAAATTTCCCAACCCCCAATTTCTAACCTAAAGCAAAACCTTGTTTAGTGTTCTCGGAAAACAAACAAAAGCAGCCAAGAAAATTTCCCAACCCCCAAATTTCTAACCCAAAATTCGAAGCGGGAAGGGGGTTTAAATAGAAAGAGAATTTAGGGTTTTTTCGAGGGCGGGGTTTCAGGCCCATTTCGAATTTTGAAAATTTGAAATCTTTCTTCAAAAGCTGAAGAATCGCAGAGAAGGGGAAGTGAAGGGTCGAGATGTAACGACCGTCCTTGCGAGCTACGTGGCGTGATCTCGGCATGGTAAGGACGAGAGCCTGTCGCGTGCTCACTGCAGGTTGCGTACGAAGGAGCAGACTGCAGGTTTCCGTAGGTGACCTCGTTCTTACACGCGCTAGAGAGAGAGGAGGAATGAGAGGAGGAGAGAGCATGGGGAGACGCGGGGGATCGTGGGGGAGAGGAGAGAGCGTGGACTGCTGGGAATCGCATGAGAGAGACGGAGGCAGGGAGACGAGAACGCGCGAGGGAGCTCAATTTTCTGCGCGTCTGAGTGTTTTTGGGGTGTTCTGTTTCTTCTAGGTTCACGTGGGGTGAGGGGAGAAGAAGGGAAGGGGAGACGGGTCGGAGCGGCCGGGTTGGGTCAAAAGGGGGTTGGGCGGGTTAAATGGGTTGTGTATTTTAATGTTTTGGGCCGTTGAGGAATTGGGTTGGGTTTAAAATATAAAAGGGGATGTTGGGCTGCTGGGAATTGAGGGGAAAAGGGGATGGAAGAAGGGGCATTGGATTTGGACTTGCGATTTTGGGCCTGGTGTTGGGGGCCACATGGTTGGAAAGGGTTTAAGTTGAGGTGTGGGAAATGATTTGAGGGAAGGGAATTGGGCCTGGGGAGCAATTGGGATGGGTTGAAAGAACAAAAAGGGAGGGGCCCAAATTTGGCTCTTCCAAATTAAAAATGGAAAAAGAGTTCAATTTAAATAATAGCAACCTGATTTAAAACAAAATGAAATTGGTGTAAATTCATTAACGAGCTTATTTATTTAGTAAAAAAAATCATTAAAATCGTAAAAAGTGATTAAAGTATAATTTTAGATTGAACTAGTTTAATAAAAATACTTAGGTGTATATTTTGATGAGTTTTTTAAATAATCATCAGATATACTACCTATATACATAATTATGTAAGAAATATATTATCTAATGTTATGATAAGTAGCATAAAATCCACGTATTATATACATACATATATATATATATATTATTTTATTTTTTTATTTTTTATTTTTTTTCGCAAGATTTATAAAACTAATTAACTTAAATAATTTGGAAAACTCACGAAGCTTGATAATTAATTTATACCGATGTGGGTCAAAAATTGGGTGTCAACAACTGTCCCTCATTTTACTTGGGTTGAAACAAGCAACTCGTGGAAAATGAAATTGACCGAACCAATTTGACCAACTCCATTTTTATTTTTATTTTGAAGGAAGGAAGGAATCGACAAAGGGTTTAGGAATTATGGCCGAACCTTTGAAACAAGTCTCCTACATATCTCAGGCTATATGAGAATTCAGGCCACTTGTAGTTCGATAAGCTTGATTTACTGCACGATTTTGAAAAAATTAAAAGCCACCTCGATACAAAATTATGAAGGTATCGAAATACTCGAGAATAGGATTCGAGAGCGAACGTTGAAATACAGTCGAGTTTTCGACATTGAATCCGCCTACATACCCTTAGACCTTCGGAATCAAGCTGTGTGTAGTTCGACTCGATCGGTGGAAAAGGAAATCTATTATGCTAGATAACCTTTGGTTCTGGACAAGTGACAAATTAATGAGTATGAAAAGGAGGCTTGTAACCTCTTTAGCCATGAATGTGGCGCGCTTCAAACCCGTAATTATGAACTTACACGGACATAATTTCCAAAGATCTTGGCGCATTTGTCACTCAGATTGGAAACTTGCTTCCGATAAATCTAAACCTTTGGACGCGAGACTGAAACTGACAGAACTAAAGAAAAACCCGCATGTTTCGAGGGGGTGGTTCGATTGTGGTGGAAGTCGCTCCTCTGCTTGCGTCCTAAGAGTTTGACATTCCTCTTTGGACTGTGTCCCAGTTTGCTGCTAAGAAAAAGTTCCACGTTGTGCTGCATCCTTTTTGATGTCGTCCGCACCTGTGGTTTTTGGAGAATTCATCCTTTTGGATGCTCTCGACAAAGACTGAGATAAAACTCGTCAGCAAAAAAATGCAATTAGGATGGGAGACAGTGTCTTTTACCATGTCGACACTTCATTGTTCTCCTCAAATCAACGTTGACTCGATCGGTCTGACGTCCAGCAAATAAGCTTACACCTTATGTTTTGTGATATAGTCTTCAATGTACTCTATGCTTGATGTCGAAATAAATAAATAAACGCCGATGCGATATTGATGTCTCTTTTGTCGTCATCTTCGATGCTCTTCTTGATGTTTATTTTTTATCAAAAATAAAAGATGCAATTGAGGCTGGTGGATAAATGTTGTTCTTGGGATACACAATTTCTCTTTCTTTATCCGTGTATGTCCTCTTGCGAGGCATGAATACCTTCCTGCGATACGTAAATTCCCGCGAGGTATGAATCTTCTCGCGATGCATAACTTTCAGTGAAGCATGAAATCTTCTCGCGATATGCAAATCTTGGCGAGGTATGAATTCTTCTCGCGATGTCTAAATTTCAGCAAGGCATAAAATCTTCTTGCGATGTATAAATTTTGACGAGGCCTAAAATCTTCTTGTCGTGAATAATTATCGATTCACAATGCATGATTTTTCCGCATGCATGATTTCCAGAATGCATGATTTTGGCAGTATGACTTTCACGATACATGAATATATCAGTGTATGAGTTCCGCGATGCATGAATATTTATATCGCCTCCGCAGATAATACGGCAAGACGATCTTCAAATGATATATCGACTTGATTGATAATGATAAAATAATAATGACATAACTATGCCTTTTGAGGTAATGTATTGTCTCGCTTTGATAACGCAATACAAATAGCGTCCTCTATTAAATCGTGAAATCCTCGTTGAGATTCCTGTTTGATTCACCTTTGAATCTGGCTGGACACTTTTGTAAATTTCATATTGTTGGGAATGGATTGAAATAAGCAAACACATTCCCAAGCATCCACACACAAACGAGATGAACAGCCACGCGTTCTCAGTAAAATCACTGGTTTTGGAGGTAGTCTTCTCATCTTGGGGAGCTCTCCGTAACGATCTAGCTAGCTCAATAATTATCCAACTGTAACGAGGTAGATGGCTCGATAAAATTCCAACTGTAACGAGGTGGATGCTCGATAATATTCCAACTGTACCGAGGTGGATGCTCGATAATATTCCAACTGTACCGAGGTGGATGGCTCGATAATATTCCAACTGTAACGAGGTGGATGGCTCGATAATATTCCAACTGTAACGAGGTGGATGGCTCGATAATATTCCAACTGTAACGAGGTGGATGGATCGATAATATTCCAACTGTAACGAGGTGGATGACTCAATAATAGTCCAACTCTAACGAAGTGGATGGCTCGATAAAATTCCAACTGTAATGAGGTGGATGGCTCGATAATATTCCAACTGTAACGAGGTGGATGGCTCGATAACATTCCAACTATAACGAGGTGGATGGGTCGATAATATTCCAACTGTAACGAGGTGGATGGCTCCATAATATTCCAACTGTAACGAGGTGGATGGCTTGATAATATTCCAACTGTAACGAGGTGGATAGCTCGATAATATTCCAACTCTAACGAGGTGGATGCTCGATAATTATCCAACTGTAACGAGGTAGATGGCTCGATAAAATTCCAACTGTAACGAGGTGGATGCTCGATAATATTCCAACTGTAACGAGGTGGATGGCTCGATAATATTCCAATTGTAACGAGGTGGATGCTCGATAATATTCCAACTATAACGAGGTGGATGGGTCGATAATATTCCAACTGTAACGTGGTGGATGACTCGATAATATTCCAACTGTAACGAGGTGGATGACTCGATAATATTCCAACTGTAACGAGGTGGATGGCTCGATAATATTTCAACTGTAATGAGGTGGATGGCTCGATAATATTCCAACTGTAACGAGGTGGATGGGTCGATAATGCTCCAACTGTAACAAGGTGGATGGCTCGATAATATTCCATATGATTTTAAAATAGAAACCTGAAATGGAAAAGCATATATACGAACAACTTATGGGGTGGATTTCCCAACAAACTATACGCTAAAGACTTTGATTGCCAATCAAAACACATAATCCACTTATGGGGTGGATACCCAACAAAAAAGAATTATGACTCTGACATATTCAAGAAACAAAGTACGCCGAAATTACTACGCGACAAACACACTAAAACTAAATTGACGTTTATACACGTCGCGACTATGATTCTGTTCTTTAAAAGAAAGAAATATTGAGGTGAATGACTTGATTCATTCGCATGAAAAACAAAGACACTCTCGTCTTCTTTGACAAACTCGACAGAATTTGAGTTTGTTGCAGTCATTTTAATCATTTATCGAAAACTTGTAACAATTCGATAATTTTGACTGTCAAGGAGATATTGTGGTCACCATCATCTTTCTGATGTGATGGACCCGACAAATTTCCTTGCAACACTTCTAAATTAGTGTCACTTTGATCATCTTCAAAATTTGATGTCGCTTTAATATACGACCTTTTGACTTTGTCAATACTATCACCTGCAAAGCTCGACACCAAACATTAGTATCGATGATGAAGTAAAGAATAAAAGTAAAGTTGAGGAACTAGATTGAGTAGTTTGGCTTATCAAGATTAGGCTATGATGAGTCCAACGGTGACTTTGATCATGACTCATAACTAGCAATCCTCCTGCACCTTGTTTCTTGCAACTTTGAAAGAATCTATCAGTGTTCGGCCTCAATATTCCTGCAAGATAAAAAGAAACTTGTTTATCACTTGAGGCTATATAAAGTAATAGAGACAAAATGAGATTGAAGATTTCTAGGTTTCGCTGATGAGTCCACGATGGGTACAAGTGACGCCCTTTGTCATTCATGACAGCTTTATATAGCCATTTTATGACTTCAATGTTCCTGCATCCAAAGAAAAATTCTTAGTTTGAAGGACTGATCTATGTTGGTCTTGTCTTCATGCTCCTTCCTGCAGTTGCCTTACACGCTCGCCCGTCCTTTATATGACATATTTGATGGAATTTTTGAGGACCCTCCTCAAAAATTTGTCCCGGTCTACAATATATGAAAACTCTCATAAACTTGCTCTGTTAACTTTGAGGTTGCTCATTCTGGAATTTTGAGGCCCCTCCTCAAAATTTTGTCCCAATTTACCTCAACAAGTAACAAATGACATTTGTGGAATTTTTGAGATCATCTCAAAATTATCAAAACAGATTCTAGACGGGTGATCACGAAGAGAGACTATACTAGTAGGAGGCAAAGGAGAACCTCAAGAAATCAAGAACGCCCTGACTGACTAGACACTTACTCGATTTTCATTATTATTTCTTTCTCAAACAGCGACTACAAAAAACTATTACATTAAAGAGATGAGATGTGTGCACCATTAGCAGTTCAATGAAACTTGAGCATTCATAATAATCTTGAGGGAACAAAAAATGCAACATCACTATATTGAGCTATGGCTCTTTATGAACGGAATGAACTACGGCTAAACGACGAAATCGATTGTGGCTAATCATAACAGGCTCCAAAACGGATTTTGTGTGAGATGGATTTTGCTCTAATACTATATAAACATCTGGAACAATGACTTATTACGTTTTATTTTTTTATATCTCATCTGGCAACTGATTAGTATTTTAAGGCTAGACTAATATAAATTTCACATAATACATACATGTGTTTTTTAAATTAAATTTGTTTCAATTGACATCTATAAAATTAAATGACATATTAAATATGTTATGCCTATAAATTCATTTTACAAAACTCTTCCTACCAAAAAAGACTTCCTATTCAACAATTCAAACCCAAACGAGCTTCTGATTAAAAATAAAGTTCCTAATATCCCAATACATATATTTAATGGTATTTAACAATACTTTTACTTCATCTTATCTTAGCAGAAAAATTACTCCTTGCACTCATTTTTATTTGTTACTTTTGATATATAAAAAGATATTTTTTTTATGTTTTACCTTAAGTATTAAATATTTATTTTTAAATCATTTTCAAGACATAAAATTAAATATTTTTCAATGAAAATACTTTAACAAAATAATTATATCAATAATTATTTTTTTAATAAGTGTCCCAAATCAAATAGTAACAAATAAAAATAAACAAATGAAGTATTTTATCTTAGCAATTAATGAACTATTATTATTATTATTATTATTATTATTATTATTATTATTATTATTATCATTATTATCATTATTATTATTATGGCGCAAATTACAAAGCATGATTTAATATTTAGGAAAATCTTAATATTTTAGTTACCTAAAATTCTTTTCTTTTTAGCATGTGTTTTATTTACCACCTTATAATTTTCTCTAATACATAAAAATCTCCCTAAATTTGATAACAAATCTTACTTTAACACTTACCTGTATAGGTGTTTAAATACCTCTCTTAACATCTTTCAAGTGAATTTAAATACACTTGAATAGCTACTGTGCCAAGTCAAATAAGTCAGTATGCGTTAAAAAATCTTATTAGGCCCGATTTTTTTTAGCCAATAATCTTTCTTTCCTTCGTCTTCTTTACACCCAACTACCCCCAAGTTCTTAGTACCAACAGCCCGTTCATCTTCATTACACCCCACCACCCCCAAGTTCTCAACCTCATTCGCACTACTTCTTTCTTCTTGTTGATACACCCCCCGGGCTCTACACAACACACACCTTTTTTTTCCTTTTTTTAAACTCCCATCCCGACTCTATATCCCCTCTTTGAACTCCCATCGCAACCCTTTCTCTTTCTCTTTGGACTAGCCACCTCAATCACCACTTGCCTCACCTCTTTCTTTTCTTCTTCGAAGAACTTTGCAGCTTCTTTCTCTTTCTTTGAAACAGCCCCATCCCAACCCTCATTTTCTTTTAAGAAGTAAAAGGGTTTGATGAACACGGAAAAGATTAAAAAAAAGTCAATAATTTATTTTTGCTTCTAAATTATTATTTATGACAGAGTTTGAATGTGATAAACATGAAGCTTTTGTTAATGAAAAATATACAATTTCTTCATCTGAAATTAAATTTTCATTCATTATTTATTATTTTGATAATGTCTTCAAAATTGAATGTGTTTTTGTAAAATTGTGAGAATACATTTGAGATCTTGGACTAATGTTACTGAGTTTGTTCAATTGCAATTTTGACTGAGTTGTTGTTTTTATCAATGGGGATTGTGACAATTGAGGAACAAGCGCTGATTTTTTTCTAAAACAACTCTTACTAAATTTGTGAATAAATAAAAAGAAACAAAAAAATTAAAAATTCAAATTTAAATAATGTACTAAGTGGCCATGACGGATCAATGACTTGGAGTGTGTGTATTGCACTTGCCGATGTGAGAGTAGTATTATAATCGTAGGATGATATTAAATCATTTGAAAAGAGATTGGGCAAATAATTACCAGTGAAGTGAAAACACTAAAATAAATTTTGCTGCCAAATCCGTGAAAATTTTACGTGTTTTTCTTTAAAAAAAGTATAATGGTACAACATTAATGATGAATTTATATTTTTGGGAGGATGACTTTTGGTGTGACATTACTAGATACAATTGGTGTATTGAAGAAGGCAATACTCATCGTTTGGTGACACCTTATCGAGCATAAATTGATTGGTTGCAACGACAAGTGCGTGTAAGTTTCTTCCCCTCTATATTACTTTTTTCGTCAAATAATAGTCTTTTATTGAATGTAAAAATAAATTAATGTAATTATTAATTATACTATTTTAAAATGTTCAAAACTATTTATTCCCTTTATAAAATTAATAAATAATTTACAATTAATTTTTAATTATCTTTATTATTTCAGATATTATATTTGTTATATTAAAAGAGATTGATATAATAAAATTAATTTTTTACGGCACCTAAAATATTTGCTAAATTGCGATTATCCGACAACTAACTTATTTGGCTAAAACGGTCTAACTTATTTTGAAATAATGAAATATTTAGAGTCGTTTGAAATTGAAGTATTAATTTTTCTATTTAAGTGAATTTCAATTTGTAAAATTTAATTTAAGTTATTTACTTGATTTAATCAATTCGTTAAAACTAAAGTTGCGCTTTTGTAGGGGGGTTGAATTTTTTTAACCCTAAAACTAACAATAAACAATGTGAAGCAGATAAACGATAAAGTAAATAGAGGGAGAAACACTTGTTGTACCTGTCATAGACAATTGAAAATTACGGTGGCTGTCATTACTCATCACCACAACCTCAATACTGAAATTTCGGAACCAAACACAGTTTATTAAAAGAGAAAATTTTAAAAAAAGAGTAGCAGACATCTTGGAAAGAAAAAAACCTTTAAGAAAACATAAAATTAAGGGGAAAATGGACTTATGCTTAAAACAACCAGATAAAAACACATACTACTCCCATATGCATTAGACAATACCCCGGAAAAGAGACAGCACAACTCAAATCACGCTCAAATGGCACTGAAATGGACAGACAGAAGCACAAACTCATCAACTTTCAAGTAATGCACGATCCACACCTTAATTAAATAGGTAGTCTAAGAAAAAAAGGTTTTACCTTGCTAAGTGCAGTGAGACTGGGTTGAAACGAGTAAAGGACGCTTCATCACAAGAATACCGAACACGAATGCCCGCCATCGAATAATAAACACAAGCGGCAGTAAAGATATTCGAAACGAAACAGTAAACCCAAAATCTCTAAAGAGGGCAGAAGAAGAGAAAAAACTCTCCCCTATTTCTTTGACTGTATTTTATATTATTTTTTTCATATAGCCTACAACTATTACCTTTACCAGTGCCTTTGCTCTGAGAATTTTCTAACAGAAAGTCTACCCAAGATTTTCACTCAATATGTGTTCTCTACAGAAAATTCCCAAGAAAAAGCCAAAAAAAATTTCTCTTCTCTCTTTATTAAAGGAGAAAGAGAAGTTTCATAGCTGAAAAATTAGGTCACGATTTTTGAAAGGTAGGGCAAAATCGAATTTAAAAACCCAGATCCATTTCGAATTCCCTTCAAAATTAAGAAAAAAAAAAGCTTTCACCAAAGAGGGAAAACACACTTTTCCTAGAAATTTGACAATTTCACCAAGATCAACCTCCTATCCTTCGAAGGCATGTGGAACAATCTCGTCGTCTCAAGGACGATTCTCGCGTGCCTATGCTATCGTACGAACCTGAAGAAGGGGAAACATCTTCTATCATGGGAACATTGGAGAAGACGCAATCAACACGAGATTGGCTTTTGAGTTTGTCGCATTGCATCTGTCGAGTGTGAGGAACATTATGTATCCTTGCTTTTCTTTCATGCGTCTGCTGGAGTTGGGAGCGGCGGGCTACGTGCACTAATGTGGCGCTCTTTGCTAGAGTCGTTTCCGTTTTTCTTTAGAAGAAGAGAGCAAACGTGGGCCGGGTCAAAAAGTGTATGGGCTTGAGAATTGGGGTAATGGGGTCGATTTGCTAGGATGGGAGAGGGAATTCGGCTTAGGAAGTTTGGGTATATGGGCTGGTTGGCTTAGGAAAGGAATTGGAAAATGATGAAGTCAATTGCAGCTTAGCCAATTCAAGTTAAAAACTTAATCAAAGTGAATCTAAAATCGGCCAATTAAATAGGACGAATGGATATAATCAACTAAAGAACTTCTTGATTTTAATGAAATAAAATAATTAGCTCGAATAGAAACTAAATAATTTGAATAATTTAAAAAATATACTGGACTAAATTAATAAAATAATTATTAAAATTAAAATCTTTCGACACGATTTTCGATATTTATAAAATATTATAATCATATTTCCACTTATGTTAAACAACTATCTCACCTAAAAATTAGATAAAACGATAAAACTAGTTAAAATAATTTGCACAATATTATTTTTATATTATTTTTATTTTTATTATTATTATTATTATTATTATTATTATTATTGTTATTATTATTGTTATTGTGATTGTTATTGTTATTGTTATTGATATTGTTATTCTTGTTGTTGTTATTGTTGTTGACACTCAATTTTGACCCTCCAGTCAAGATAGATCCTCGAGTTTCTTCAAAGTTAAACAATTTTAAAATTGTTAGTTCTGTAAATTTCAAAATATAGCCTGCAAGTTATATTAATTGAAATTTTGCTTTTCATGACTTGCTAACTAATGCATGTTTTACATTATTACGAATTGAATATCCAAAATCAGCTCAAAAGAATATTTTGTTTGTTTGATTATTTTAATTGTATAAGCTTATATCGCAAATTATTTACATTTATATTTAACTTAATTATTTTACTTTTTGTCTAAGTTAAGAAGCTCATTGATTGATACATATTAATTTGTTTTGTCTCAATCTTGACGAGTTTCGTTGATCAAATCTGATTCAGCTACCTTTGGAACGGATTTGGGCTTAGTTAAACGCAATCTCGTTCAAAATTCGTTGGCTTATCCTCAGCCTATCTTAAAAACAAGTTTGGGCCATCCCAACCCACCTTTTTTTACAAAGGAACCCAACATTTGATTTCCGGCCCTTTTATTTTAGTTTTTCTTTTCCCTGCGTGAAGCGCGTAGCGATACGTTTTGTTCCCTTCAAAAAGGGACATAGAATCTCAATTTTGCCCTTGTTTTTTTCCGAAAATTCCCCGCCTTCCCCCTATCTCAGAACCCAAAATTCTGCTATGAATAATCCCTTGGAGTAGAAACTCTTCGAGGGGATTTTTTTTTTAAAATGGAATTTTTTTCTTTAAGAGCTTTTGGTCGAACTTTTGAGCAAGAAGAAGGGAAGTTTTCTTTGTTTTCCACAGATATAGTTAGAGGGAGCTACAGATAAAATATACATAAGCATACAAAATGCATCCAAAAAAGGAGTGAAGAGTGGGTTTGGTTAGAATCTTATTCTTCTGGCTTGCTCATCCTTTTCCTCTAAGTTGGTTCGAGTTCGAGTTGCCGCCTAAGTTACTCGTTGGCAGTTGACATCCTACTTTGTTGTGGTGGAATCATCCTTTCGTGCTCGCTCGGTTCCAAATTTACTGCACTAAGAAAGGTTCCCCCCTCACTAAGTTCTTTTTGTGTTCGTCTTTGATTTTGATTTTTGTAATCTTCCTGTTTTGTTGATTTTGCTGATTTCCATAACTGAAATACGTTTATACTAGTTTTGTAAAATTTTAGAAAAACATATTATTTTGGTGAATGACTTTATATAATGGCTTACTTTGGTTAAAACCTCGAATATTTTGTTATGTTATTGATCTAGTTAAGCTTGGTTGAGTTGAATCTTTCCTTTTCAATCTAAGGTTACTTATTATTTGAATATTTTGATATTGTAGGGCTCGTTTTCATTATGTGCTCGTATATGATTTTGATTTTTGTAATCTTCCTGTTTGGTTGATTTTGCTGATTTCCATAACTGAAATGGAGTTGTAGTTTGCAACATCATAATATAGGTGAATGTCACTCATCATGCCAATAAGAATATTTTGTTATGTTATTGATCTAGTTAAGTTTTTTTGAGTTGAATCTTTCCTGTTCAATCTAAGGTTACTTATTATTTGAATATTTTGATATTGTAGGGCTCGTTTTCATTATGTGCTCGTATATTCTCGTCCCAACTGATTTGATTCGAATGCATGGATTAACTGCTTTCTTATATGCTTTTATGCTTCATGGGTTCATATTGTGTCTACTTTCCTCATGGTTTGGTTAGATCACATTTTGAGTTAAAATATACATGTAAGTTGACAATGACTAAAGCTTGTTAGTAGCATCACTGTTTTTTTTTAAAAAAAACATATGATAAGGTTTATTCTGAAATTGTTTGGCCGCATTCTTGATCTCGTTCGAATGATTTTACGGTAATTCGGACTGTTTTAAGTTCATTTTCTATCAAGAATATGACATTGATTTAGGCTTAGTTTTCTGTCGGTTGAATCTTCCATTCCAATTTTAAGGTCATATGGCTTTGTTTGTTCATATTTGCACATGTGATTAGTGATTGACTTAATGGCATGCCAACATGATAACACACCTGGCAGAGACTAAAGTATGGTATTTGTTCATGTCACATATGCTGAATGATAACTTATTTGTTAGTCTTAATTTTGTTCAAATGAGCAGCTGGTAATTTTTTTATTTTTTATTTCTTTCATTTTTTTTAAAAAAAGGATAGCTTAATTTTAAAGTAAAATCTGGGAATGTGGATCAAGGCAATTTTCGTCCTTTCTTATTATGATAAGTAGCTAGAGTAATTGTCCAGGTTATCTAAGTTACTAGATTAATCCTCAAATGATTATCATAATTTGCTACTTTAAGTTTTCGATCACCATAATTTTGTTCAATTATTTTTATAGAAATGTATTAGTGTTTCTCATTTCATGCTACTGTGTTTTATTTAGGTTTGACATGTAAAATCTCCCCGGGGTTCACCACGAATCCATCCTCACCCATATCGAGAGGTCCATGAAAACCCAAATGTTTTCTATCTTTATTTCGAGTCAAGCATTCCATGAAGATCGAAGGACGGGTACCAGAGTATAAAAATTGAAGATAGTCGGAGAAGATAGATTTGAAGACCCATTTTATTTCATGTTTTCTCATTTCGTATTGTATTTATTTTCGGGCATAAGACCTTGTCGTCTTTACTTTACTTTATTTATTTTGTGTAATTATTTGTTTAGTGTAGGACAGGTACAAAATGGGTCAAAACGCAAAAAGAAAATGGGTCAAAAACCCAAAACATGTGGGTCCAAATTCCAGTCCAGGCGAAAAGAAAAACTGGATTTGGACCCAAGTCTCTCTCCCTCTTTGCGTGCTTTTAATTATCTGCTTGATTGTCATCAGTCCTAGGTTAAGAAAACTCCAAATTCCCCGCGAACGCCTTAAAGGCCTTATCAGCATAAAACCAATAATTTTGCAAATAACTCACTTAGATAAGAAGTTAACATTTTAACTCTTTTCCTTTCTAAATAATTTTCAAAAATTAAGAATAAGCGGTTTTAGCCAAACTAAGTTAGTTGTCAGATAGTCATAATTAAGCAGAGCATCTTTGGTTCTTTCAAAACCTTCATATGATGTTAATAAGAATCCCCGAACCCTTTTCAATATTTTCAACTGATTTTTCTGTTAAGTCTTTTCAAAATGGAAGTTTTTTTCTTGAATTTTCTTTAAAAATTAAGTGGCGACTCTCTAAAAAATAAAAAATGAAAAATAATATTTTTTGATATAACTATTATTATTATTATTATTATTTATGAAATAAACCATTTTAAATCATTTGGAATTAAGAAGTTCGTTAATTAATTCATGTCGAGGAGCGTCAAAATTGGGTGTCAATGTCTCCCCGTACCTTCTTAGTTGAATTATACCAACCATCAATCTTGAACAGAATTCGAAAATGGATTCGGATTCATTCATTTTAAAAACTTCAAAGTCAGCCCTTAGAGTTTGAAGTTTTATCTTCTTTACTTTATCAACTTCTTGGACAGAATTTGGTAATTTTCCCACACTTCTTTCGAGGCTGTTGCATCAGCCATCTTTTCAAACATGTCATCATCCAAACATTGATGGATAAGAGTGAGAGCCTGTTATTTTTTGTCTTTAACAAAGTTTCCTCATTTGTGGGTTTTGTATACCTTTTGTCTACAATATCCCAAACATC